GCTTACCCTGGCGAGCCGTGTGCCAAACGTTGCCGACCCCTGTAATAGAGATTGGCCCAAACCAAATCCCCAGGACTGAATAACCCAAAATCTGGTGACAGCCAGAGCCAGACCTGAACTATGCAGCATGCATCTTGCTGTAAATATTATTGATAAGAACAAAAAATATTTGATACTCTATAATATCTGACAATCAATTCCTCCTCCACCTACCTGCCAAGACTTGAGTCCAAGGTTCTGGGCCCAGTGCTCTTCAGTTGCCCTGGAGTGTAAATCCAGACAGAGTACCTCTACTGAAGTCACAGGAATTGTTCTGGGTTTAGCTCGGGGTAGCAGAAAGCTAGGAAGCTCTCTCACAGATACACAGCAGAAAGCAGGAGAATGCTCTGCTTTAGGGGATGTCTGCACTGCAGCATGTTTCGAGGTACCAGACCTAGCTTTGATCTTGCTAGCTCAAAGCCAGCTTGAGTAACAATAGCAGTGAAGCCATGGCAGCAAGGGCAGCAGCATAGGCTCGCCCTGCCTGCCCAGAACGCTGGGGACATAGTTGGGCAGATGCCACCCATTCTGCCATGGCTTCACTGCTAGGGTTACTTGAGTTAACTAGATCAAAGCTAGCTCAGGAATGTCTAAGTGTATGGCAGTCACACCGCTGACTGCAGTGTGGAGATTGCCTTAGGGCAGGGCTACATTTACTTTACGGGGGTGTATAGAGTACAGACACTGCATGCCCAGCTAGTACAGTTATAAATAGCAGCATAGGCGGTGAGGCACTGTTTAGGTGAGTAGAGAAGCATGCCCCACACACCTGAATCCCCAGGGTATATACTCTACCCGGTTCTCTACATGCCCAAGCACTTCCTCGCACATTTGCACTGCTGTTTTTAGCAGTATAGTGTCCCACTGCCTCCCCACTACAGTAGCCTTTTCCTGCTGTCTCCTCCATGTCAATGTCTTTCCCTGTTGCTGGAGCCTTTCACTGTAGCCTGTAGCTACACCTGTAGTGCCTATACGTTGCCATAAGCGTGGACATAGCCTTTGATGCACTCTTGCAGTGAGACTCTGGACTTTGCAAGGAAGTGGAGAAAGAACTTTATTTCCAAGTCTCTTCTTTTAGAGTGCAACTTGCATGTGCTTACAGCGCATTGTAGGTCTCTCCTACTGTGTGTTCTGCCCTCGTTTTCTCTCCAAAAAATCTTTCCATTCACCTTTGTGTTTCTTGGCTTCCATTGGTTTCAGAGGGACATGCCAAGCTGGGTTTCCAAATGTGGGAATCCTAACAGGATGCTCCAGTCAGCATGCAGGCTCAGCGTTGCCTGTTTCACATGACTAGATCACCGTGTGTGGAGATGCAGGGTCTGGGCTCCTTGTCTAACAGTCCAATGTGCGCTGGGCTGCAGTGTTAATGAAGCTGACTCTGGGGGGTTTTCAGAGTGTTCTGGCTGCTGCAGGAGACTGCCTTTCCTGGGGGAAACTGGGGTTCTGTTGACTGTCAAGGGCCCCGTCCTGCCAGGATCCCAGTGGAGCTGAAGGCGCCCAGCACCTTGCAGACAGGGAGGCTGCCCAGGTGTCCCAGTTTTGCCAATCCCAGCGAAAGTGCCATTTTAATAAGAATGTTACATATGAAGCGCTGAGTGGCTTCTGCCCCAGCAGCCTCAGCACAAACCAGCCCCTGAAAAACCAAGTGGTGCCAGTCAAGGGGGAAGAATGAAGGGGCTAAAAACAGGAAGAATCATTCAATGTAATGGTTAGGCTGGCTGATCTCTCTCCCCACCTGGACCTCCAGGCTGCTCCCTCCCGCCCCCGCCCCATTGGCTCAGCTGTGTGTGTGCTGGCTTGTCCCTTCTCCACTGAGCTGATGCAATGTGTTGCCCAGTGGGGTCAGCCTGGCACAGCCATTTGGAGCACCCAGGCTGCGCTGTGCCCCAGCGCATCAAGGGGGCGCACTCTGGGCCCCAGCAGCTGAACCGCTAAGGTTCCTTATAGGGAAGGTGTGGGCATAAGGCCCAGGGAGGTTTGAGTGGGTCTCGCAAGGTCAGGAGAAGTCAGTTGCAAAGCTGGGGATAAGCTCTGGGATGAGACCTGGCCCCACGGAAGTCAGTGGGAATTTTGCCGTTGACTTCCATGGAGCCAGGATTTCCACCAGCAGACCTGGCTCCCAGCCCAGCAGGCAGAAGTATCGGGAAGGGAAGATGATCATGACCTGTTCCCAAGATCCTCTGGTGAGGGGCACATAAAAAACTCCAGGGGGACACCTGCTACCCTGTTCCTGCCCTCTCTAGCTGATCAAATCCTCCTGACCCATAGCCCTGGCATGTGGGGACCTGACTCCTTTCCCTTCTTGGTTCTCAGGTTGATGTCCCTCAACCCTGTGAGAGCCAAAGCTCCCGATCCTGCCTTCTGTGGCCTCGTCGTAGCAGGTTTGTTTTTTTCTTTGAAGCTCTTGGTGCAATGGCCGTGGGGCTCCCATCCTGAAACATTTGCTCTTCTCTGCAATTAGCAGCTCTATGTGCTCAGGGCAGGGAGCAGCCAGCTCTGAACTCCGCCTCAGGTGCTTTGTGCTGCTCCTTTGACAGAGATCTTCGAAGGTATTTAGGCACCAAACTCAATGGAAGAGCTGCTACTGTACAGCAACCCGGAGCCTGCTCCACCTCCTCCTTCTCTCCCTGGGCCGTGCACCCCCAGCAAGTGTGATCAGGCTGCTGCCCTCCTGCGCTCAGCCACAGAGCGGTTAGGAGCTCACTGACACCTTCTCCTCATTGTTACCAGCTGCCCCTGGATCTGGAGGGCTGCAAAGCAGGCAGATGTATGGGAATGCTTCTTCATGGCATGTAACCAATCTGTAGGTGGTGTCGGGTAACACCTATTCTGGGGGTTGGTGAACATGGACCGTCATGCTGCACATGTCTGTACAGTGCGCGCACACACACACACAGCTAGGAGGCTGGGTTTGGCTAGGTCAAAGTTTTCAAAAGTGGCCCCTGATTTTGCATGCCCATCCAGAGCACCATGTGCAGGATTCTCTCCAGTGCTGAGCACCCACAGTTCTGTCTGAAGTCAGTGGGAGCTACAGATGCTCGACACGTCTGAAAATCAAACCCCCAAAACAGGCACCAAACAACAGCAGCTCCTTCAGAAAGTTTGGGCTCTTGTATTTAGAGCTGAGGGCTGAGTCAGGGCTCCTTTCCTGGCTGTGTCTTGATCTTCATCAGCTTGAGCAAATACTGGGCAGCCACACAGAGCTAAGTGTTGCCATCCTGCGCACACATGAGCGTTCAAAGTCTAAAAGGGCATTCAGTGGCGTCTTCCAGACACAGCACTTGAGGTGGCTCCAGCCTTTGCCTGCAGAGCATGCATGGGAGTGAGCCACACTCCAGCCTGCAGCAGGAAGTTCCATTCATGGCCCTGAACTGCAGCTCTGGGTTTATTACCCACCGGAGACTCATTGACTGACCCTTGGGAAGGATGCCAGGGCAGCACACGCGCTGGAGCAGGCAGAGCTGCGGGGTCTGTCCACTGGGGGAGAAGAGAGATTGCGCCTCAGGCCACCCATACATGCCTTCCCTTAGAAGAGGGTGGTGGTGGTTGTCGTCCCATGTGTAGGTTGGGAAATACCATTTGGAAAAAGCATCATTCAGGGTTCATCCATTGCCCAGAAAAGAGCCCCTGAGCCAGGCCCTGCTTTTGGGTTCTGCTAGCATTCCTATTAGTCTCCCCCAGTGACAGGAGCATTAGCACAGATGGTATTGTCCTTTAGCCACGGCATCCACCCCTCTGCTTAGGGTAGGTGCAGACGATGCAATGGTCAAACGCCAGCCCCCTACCGACCCTCCCACTCCCACCATTGCTACTGTGGCTGGAGGGGCATTGGGGGAAGGAGGGCAACTGTACATGATCTTGAGAAAAATGCTTGTGTACGACCTCTGTGTGGGTGGATGAAAGGGAAGATATGAGAGCAGATTTCAGATGTAGAGGTGGATATATGTACATGCCATCATGGGCACATGGGCAGTTCCAAAAAGAGGAACTACAACAAGTTAAATGACCCTTGTTAACCCAAAATAACAAGACTTCCCATCATGTGTCAGGAATAAACATGACAGCAATGGGGGGCATTCAGATGCCACGGTGATGGGCACTCCAAGGACCTAGGAAAACAGGTAGCAACACCAACCCCATCCATCCCCCAGGGAAATTCCTGAGGACAAATGAGCACCACACCATACCTTGATGCTCAGGCTCTCCCGGCCCAGGGAAGGGAAGTAAGTCTCAGAGTCGGGGGCCCACCACAGATAACGCTCTGCCCCTGATGGTCCAATTCAGTAAGAGCTGGCTCAAGAACATCAGTGAAAGCTGCCATGGTGGAAACAGGGAGAGCCGGGAAGCAAGCCAGGAAACTGCAGCTAAACTGTGTTTCTCCCTCCAGAGAGGCTCTGGACCAGGCCAGCATTTCCAGACAAGCCCGTCTCTCCCCACATTTCGTACCCCTCAAAAATCCTCCACTACACCTCGCTCTGCTCCCTGGGAGAAGAAGAAGAAGACGAGGGCAGCAAGCTGCAGGAGCGCAGGGACTGCAGATGAAGCACTATCTGGACAGCAATTTGATTTGCTAGGGCTGGGACAGCTGGGAAGCAGGGAGAACCTGGCCCACCTGGCTGGATATCATGGTATAATTGTTCCCTCTCCTGTACCAATGACAGTGGCTGAGTCGCCATTTGGCCTTCTCCAGACCCCTACCCCAACGTGATGGTTTATGATTGAATCCCAAATACAGAACTTTGGCTCATAGCAAATTTTCCTCCTTTTGTCCTGCTGACGCTGCCCAGTGAGATATACAGAGGCACCCTGCTCCACAGGTCAGGGCGGCTCCCTTTGGTAGCTAGGAACCTAGACAAATGGCCAGGAGCAATGGGGGACTCCTTACATACTCCCCCTGCTCAGACTGAAGCCTATAGGACAGGTCTGCCACCACCCACTCATCTGCCGCATTAATACCTGTAGACGTCGCCACAACTGACAGTTTATTACACAGTCATAGTGGGGCTTAGCACTTATCCCTGTTAGAGCAAAACCTCGCCTGTTCCTCTGGGATGGGAGGAGCCATTGCGGAGCAGACAAAGAGAGGAACTCTGCACCCCTTTGCTGAGCTTCATGGCAGTTGCACATAGCTCTGGGTGGGGTGGTTGGGACTGGGATTATGCCTCACTGCTGGCCACAAATTTCAGAGAGAGAGTGTGGGGACTCCAGGAGACCTGGCTCTGCCACTGGCCTTCTGGGTGACCATGGGCAGTCACTGCCCTGCTTTGGGCCTCAGTTTCCCCATCTGTAAAATGGCAACAATGAGTCCCTTAGCTCTTTTTTACGAAGCACTTTGAGCGCCCCAGAGGAAAGGGGCTACATAAGCACGAGGTGGTAATAGAAAGCTAGCATGCAAGGATGGGCTGCAGAGTTGCCTGACACCCGCTCCGAGGGTTCAGGTGTTGATTCCCTTCCCTCAGCTCCTCTGGCATTCCCTGCCCCAAGCCCATTTAGTCAGGCTGCATGGGGAGAAAAGAGGAAATTTCACCCAGGTTGAGTGAGCAATTGGGTGAATGATCGTACCATCCTGGGTCTTCTATTTAACAAGGCACTGGACTCTGCCACTGTGCCATGCGACTGCTACGGTGGTCCTTTGCATTGAGAAGAAGTCGCTCTTCAGTAGCTAGTTTCATTTTAGTCCTAGAAGGTGCCTGCTGTGAAAGTCTGATGACAAATTGTAATTGTGATATGCATATGGATCACTGTCAGGCAATGACCTTCCCATTTGATGGCTATGTCCGTGCCCTCTCAGAAAGGCGTGCCATGGAATTGTGTTGCTGTGAACCTATGAATATTTTAATCTTCTGCTCCTTTAAAAATGTCTGGCTGTAATACTAGAAGGGGGAGGGGGCTGGAATTCAACTAGCTGTGAGTGATCCAGGCATCCAAGTGGAGCTCTTTGAAGAGCAAAGTATCCTGGCCACTGCACCACGTTTCGAATAAAAAAAACAAAACGACTTTAGTTGTCTGCGCTGACTCAAGTGTACTGGTTTGTGTCATTCCTAGCCTGAGATAAGCAACTGTGTAACTGACGTTGGTGTCGTAAGGAATTAGGTTAAGAAATAATCAACCTAGACCGTTGTTACTATCTAATGTTACATTGTGGTAGTGCCTATAGGCACCTAGGTGAGATACACATATATAGTAAATGACAGTTTCTGCTCCAAATGCTTTCAGCCTGAAAGCATTTGAGAATGGTATATTGCACGTGTTACACACATTCTTAACCGACACACACAAGTGCTGACTTCTGGAGAGACAGATCAGGAAATAAAGGCAGCTTAGTTTAGTTAATTGATTATTTATTTGTTTGACTGATTGCATTGACATTCATTGCAATAAGTGCCCAGCGTCTTGCATATGAATGAGACTGTTTACAGAAACACTCCGAAGCTGCATGTTTGCAGGACTGAATAGTTCTGCCTCTCTCACAATAAACCCAGCCAGTCGCTTCCTGCTATGCTGCATGTGTGTTTGTTCATTTACTATTTACTTAGGCTTGGTCTACACTAAACCCCCAAATCGAACTAAGGTACGCAACTTCAGCTACGTGAATAACGTAGCTGAAGTCGACGTACCTTAGTTCGAACTTACCGCCGTCCAGACCCGGCAGGCAGGCTCCCCCGTCGACTCCGCGTACTCCTCGCGGCGAGCAGGATTACCGGAGTCGACGGGGAGCACTTCTGAGTTCGATTTATCGCGTCCAGACAAGACGCGATAAATCGAACCCAGAAGTTCGATTGCCTGCCGCCAAACCAGTGCGGTAAGTATAGACAAGCCCTTAGAATCCAGCACCAGTGGCACAGAAATCCAGGGATTCCTTTGAGACATCCACACAGGGCAAAGCCTGTGCTCGAGTCAGACAGTTTAGCGGGCTCTTTAAATCTGTTGCATTTGTGCACTAGTGTTCAGCCTCCATATAGACCAAGTTTTCTTCTGACGTGGTCCTGATCCTGAATGCATAATCTTAATTCCTGCTCACGAGCTATCGCTGGCCTGGGCCGAAACACATAAGAGCCTCATGAATTACTTTCAGGAACTGAAAGCCTGAGAAGTGGAAAGACAAACAGTACAAGGAGGGCCAGGTTCTGACGCAGTGTGTACAGAGGAGGGAACAGAACAGGCCCGTTCCATTCTATGCTGCTCTGAAGCAGCCACCCATGTGCCAACTAATGCCAGGTGTGTTACTGCTGCAGACTGGGAGGGGCCCTCCTAAACACTCCCCTCCCACCCACAAACGAATAAAATGAAAAAATCCCTGTAAACTGTGAGCAGCTGTAGTCCTGGGCAGAAAGTCTGAAGGCCTGTCCACATAATTATCAGCATTATTATACTAGTACAATTAGCCATCTAGCAGTAGCCTAAGTGTGCACCCAGGCTAGTTATACCGGGATAGCTATTGTGGTATAATTATAGTGATACTGGTAAATTTCCCAAGCCCTTAACCATTGCAAATTTATAGAAATTTGATCTAATCTGGCTAGTTTCACAGCCTGTGTAACTTACATTTCTGTGACTGGGGGAAGGGCAGGCATCATTTCTAACTCCCTCCTTCCAGGAGATGTAACAGTAGCCACGGGAGTCAGTGACACTGCCTTCTACCATGTGGCAGGGGTATGATCCTCTGTAACCCTGACCAGTGTAGAGTGACTATGGCCAGGTAATAAACATCAGGCTTTCACCAGCACTCCTTACCCTAATTACATAGTCAATTCATGGCTTTTTATAATCGTGTATGGTTTTATGGTTAAAGCACAGGACTGGGGATCCTGACCTGGTTTGTGTTCAGCAGTCTTCTGTTGTGAGGTTGGGCAAATAATTCATTTGACCGCTGTGTGCCTCAGTTTACCTGTGTAAAATAATACCTCCCCACACACATGGGGTGAGCGAGGGAGCAAGGCCAAATTAATTAACATGGAGCTCTTTAGATGGAAGGTGCTGTGCAAATGCAAAGTGGCACAATTAACATTTGCCATTCTGTAATGGTTTCCAGCCAGGGAGCTTAATGTATTAGTAGTAGTAATTAACTCCAGGAGTAAACAGCAGCAGGTTTTGGACATTTGCATGAGAATTAGAATTAGAAATCTGCTCTCGTCTCTCTCACTGAAACTGCAGCCAAGACACATGCCAGGAAGGATTCCTGTGGGGATGCAGCAGTAGCTGACTCTAGGCATTCATACATCCCCAAGAGTTGGTACGTAACTCTGGCTCCTAACACTCAGGAACAAATTACCAGGAGTTGGCCTACAAAACAGGGGGCAGAGCAGGAAATTGCACTGAATGGGGAAACAGTCAGGTCCTATGCACATGGTAAGTTCAGTTCTTTTTGCAACATTAGTTGTGTAATGTAACGTATCTGATGGGTGTCAACTGCCTAACAGACAGTGAGGCCTTGCTGCCGGGCTAGGGAGGGTCAAAGAAACATTTGACCCTCAGATGCATGCAACTGTCCCATGCTATCAGAGACAGCTGCTGCCCTGGACAGGAGCAGTCCATGTCATATCTCCTGCCCCTGGGTGAGGCTGATATGGAAACAGATTCCAGGGGGCTGGCCTGTACCCCTGTTTGAAATGAGTGAGAAGCAATGGTATGTGGAATGCTGTTACACTGTGCTATTCGGCAGGGTAATCACAGAGCTATACGCAATCAGTGGAAAAGGAGAATGGACGTGCTATGAAATATTGCCATATTTGAGTGTATGAAAACGAGAGGGAGTTAGGCTGCCAATGCCCTTCAGTGCCATTGATGACCCCAGCTGTGATCGGAACAAGGCAGGGCACCTCTTGTTCAAAGGGGGGAGTTTGTACATCACTGTGATGGTGGCTAGACTCCACACTGTCCCTGAAAGGGTTAAAGGGTGCTGGCTTGCTCAATTAGGACATTGGGTGGCAACTACAGGGCGTGTCAGGGCCAATGACAGCTGAGACCCAGCTGTGGTGGGAGCTGGGTGGTTCGTATAAACTTAAAGGAAGGCTTTGGAACCATATCCTGAGAAGGGATCCCAGGCCAAAGGGCTGGGAAAGCTGTGGCCAGGTTATAGGACAGGAGTGTGTGCCTGTGTTGGGCCTAGATGGAGGGGCAGGACTGTAGTGATGGCCTCCAGGGAGGAAGCCCTGGGACTGGACACTGAACAGAGAGAGGGACATGAGCTGAAGGCTTCATCATCAGTATCTCAGCAGATGCGGATCGGTGCAGCGAGTTGGTACCCTGGGATGGGTGGGACTGAAAGTGACTTGGCTGGAGGGCCGAGTCACTACCCCCAGTACCGGAGCAGCTGTTAGCCAGGGGGCACCAGGGGAGGGGAGCCTGCTAGACTGTCCCCAGCCATGAGAGGCACACCAGCTGGTGAGTCTCTCGCCAATAATCCCCAGGAAGTGTTTTGTCTCCCATAACCTGGCTTGCTGTAAATGCCAACAGCGCTGCTGAGCTTTCGATAGGCGGTAATTATTCCTGTGTTGTGCCCAGAGCCACTCCTAGCTCTGATGTGGCAGTGCCTGGATCGTTCCTGTGCTCTGATGGCCAGCGGTGTCCCTTACCCTCTCGAGCAGCTACAGGCACAAACCTTTAATCTGTAATTTGCTAGCAGTCTCTCTCCTAGCCAGCCACCATGATTCTTGGTGGCAGTGCCACTCCGCAAAGCAGCACTGCTTGGAGTTTGGGGGCAGCTCCTCAAATACAGCTCAGCTGCCCCATGTCCTGGTGGGAGCCCAGTTCCGTTTGGGACCCAAAGGTTCCTCTGCCCCTCTCTATGCTCTTACGCTGGATGGGGACTGGTCCATTTGGAGGCGGGGAGTTGGTATCCAACTGTTTCACACCCTGCCCTACATGTTAAGGCTGATTATGAAATATTCCAACCCCCGCCTGCACCCTCTGCTGCTACAGGATCAGAGCAGCTGTAGTAGTGAGAACTACCCGCCTGCTCCAGAGGGATGCCCCCATAGGGTACCCCACAGGTGCACGCGTATGTGGTTCAGCCTCCGCAACAGCTGCTGCAGAGGTGGAAAGGAGGCAGGGCCCAACTACTGCTTCCCAGAGGGGGAGTGCTGCAAGTACTGCAATTTGCCTCACTCTTGCCTAGCCCTAGAGCTGCCTCATTGTAGGAGGGGGTTGGGATCAGCTGTCCCAGATGTGATCAGAAATATCTGAAGCATGGGAGGAGGGGAAAGCCTGGCATGACTGAGGCCTCCTGGGCAGGGACTGCACAGAGCCGCTCACCTGTGGGAACAAGACAAGAGACGGGTATCTGCCATGGGGAGTGGGCCCCCTGGTCTAGGGGGCTGGATGCCCTCACCGCTTGGAAGAGTGGAGATGACCCAGTCTGAACAGTGCAAATTAGTTTGCCTTTCTTTCGGAGCCTTCAATGCATTGCTCAGGTTCCTTTAACATAACATTCCCTTGCAAATATGGCCCCAGGGAGGGGCTGCCTGTGAGGCAGGAGGATTCCCAGCTGGAAAGGAGCTGGAATCCCAGCTTCCTCTCTGATTGTCTACAATCTCCTAGCATCATCGTTCTGGCGGTATCCTCAGTGGCCTCCAGTCCCTGCTTGCTTGGCCACCTCTCCATGGACCCTGTCCTGCTCCTATGGTGGTTAACGGAGAAAATTCCCAGTGAAAATAATGGAACTGAGAAGGGGCCCAACGTTCCCACATTTATGGAGCTCTCCTGCTACTGCTGCTAACCCCAAGTGCTGAAAAACCAGGAGATCAACCCAAAAATCTGAGTGTGTCCCCAAAAGATTAAACTGTGATTATTATTCTTGGCCTATGTGAGTTTTCCTGAACTCCCCCAGCTCATGCCCAGTGTGCATGTTTGACCATTGCAGGGTTACCAAAGCTAGCAGATCTGTAGTGAGGAAGGTGATTTTGGGCCTTCACTGAGATCAAGGCCCCATGGCCAGCTCATGACTATTCCTGTATTCAAAAGGGCCTCCATCTCCTGTTACTGCCACCGGGGC